GCATAGTATTGCAGCCTTGACGAGAAGAAGCCTTTTGCATGTGGAGAGGAAACAAGATGGCGGCCACAAGACCAAGGGCAATCGAACACATTATTTAACGAATCTTTTCCGGTGGCTGTCGAAATAGCCGTATAGAAGCTAGAATCATCATAGTAATGCTGTATCAAAGTTCCATCTGAACTCCAGAGATGATAAAACGCTAAAACTATAAAAATGTTAGACGAGCTAAAAAGCACACGTCCAAGTGTCATGCTGTCACGTGTCACTTACCATGTGAGAGGCTAATATGGTTATTACTTACCATATGAGAGGCTAATGCTTCAAAGAACACTTTGTATCACTCATTTCACGACCGAGTTGCCTTTAATTAGAGAGTTCGGTTCACTTAAGTAGGTCTACTTAGATTTTCCTAGAAAAAATCTTCTCTTTGAGTTTACAAACGAAAACAGCGGCGGTTACACCTGTAAAAGACCTCTTTAGTTTCAAACGTCATTGTTTGGTCACGTGGTCTGAAATGGGTAGACACCAGTTGCGGATATAGCAAGTTAATTGCGAAGTGTATCGAATATTTCACTCTTATTACGTCTGTAACTGCCACGATGTTTCCACGAATTCGGATTTGTCTTTTCACAAATACCCTAACGATTCTAAGCATTCAGAAGTTAAGTATCCATGCTATTTTCTCAATTTTCTCTAAATCAAAAGAGTTAAGAGTGACATCTGATACTAAAGTCTACTCTGAACATTTCAAAGACGAGGATTTTAAGTTTGCAGACAGCTGGACTAGGAGATTGAAAGTGGACGGCTTCTGTCCTTCCTCGTTTTTGTGGTCAGTCAACAAGAAGCTATTTCGTAAAGCAATAATTTTTTTTAGTGTTTCGTTTCCGAAACGAAAATGTTTGGCATGGTTGTCACAGGGCCAAATTAAAATGAAGTAAAAGACGTAGGAAAAATCGGGGGATTTCAATTTGAGCCACGGAAAATTTACATCTTTGAAAAAGAAGACAGGAAAAGTGAAATTTCAAGCAAATGTGAAGTTGTTCTCTGGCCCTTATCGGGATGAGAGAAGTTCATCATGTAACTTGTTCACAACAGTTGATAGATTCCTTCCCTTTCTCATCAATGCAAGTTAAAGTTGTAATGAAATCCTGGATGCTGATACTTACGCCCAGCGTATAACTGAGTGTTCCACATGAAAGTAATAAATCTTCTTAGGATCGCTTAGCAGTCCGTCGTAATCGTAGTAGTAATAGTTTGGACTGTTTAGGAAAAAATTGAAGGAGCTTTCTGGTTTGAAATGAAAATGTTTGAAAATAGCAAGCGAAAGCTCCCAACGGAGTCCAAACTCTACGTTAGTCACTCCATAGTCTTAGTATGTCTGGTCAGCTAAATCCTCGACGGGAAGATACTCCTTGCAGAAAATTAAGTGCTACATTTGCTTATCGTAAGAAATATAGCAGAGACTGACCAACAGTTTTCAAAGTAATCTTTCTGTTTAAACAATCAATTATTCAATTTGAAAAGCGGAAATGATTTCAGAACACTTTTGTTTCATTATCTCACTAAACAAGTGGGGCTAACAGTCAAGATTCGATAACTACTCTTGAACCAACATATGTTCTTAGCTTTTATATAATAGCTGAATTACGCAAGCATTTTTAATTAATTAGTTCTTGCACATGATCTGTTTAAGAAAAGACGCATAGATAAAGTCACTGCTGAGATTTTTTTCTGGCTCCGTACTAGTATAGATTCCAATGATGTTGCTGTGGGTCTGTGCAGTTATAAGACACTCGGCTACGCCCCGTATCCCAGTAACTTCTTTATTTTTACCACATTCTGACGTCACTTATCACTGAACAGCCGCATAGCATCATGTTGAACAGATAATGGGCTCACAGCTTTTGAAAAAGGGTAGTAAATATTTCCAAAAATTTTAAGAAAGACATCACGTCGTCCGATATATATGAGTATCTAACGCACCTACAAAAATGCAGTCTAATGACTATTAAAATGCACGACTCATAAAGTAGAAAGTAATGTTAAATCCTGTTTTCTTGTTTTGGAGGTCTGATATCCAATTCCACTCAGCCCCTACTGCGAACTGAAAAGGTAAAGAGCGGAAGCAAAACAAAATGAAGAAAAGTGTTAATACTGCTTTTAAACCCTCCTGGATCTAAGGGCTTTCCTACTAAAGGCCTTGTATATGTTGGGAATCGAATTCCACTGGTGTAGATTGTCAGAAAAAGGGGAAGATAAACGAGAGAGGATCTTTAAGATTATGATTATGCATTTTGTAATCGAAATGATCTGGCACATCTCTATCAAAGTTAACGTTTATTTGAGAAATCAATTTGGAAAATAAATGGTTGAGTTATCATCAGGATGCATTGTAATAAATTTGAGGGATGAATATTTGAAAAGCGTTGTAAAGTGGCGGTGACTAAAATTTTCAGAAGACACCAGAAACAACAGAGAAAATAAGAAATAGTGACACTGGTCCTGTTTCCTCACCTATCCCCTTTCCCCCTTCCTTTTTATGAGATTAAAGTAAGGTGTCGTTGGAAAAAGAGGGATTTTTAGGAGGGTAACTTGTTTTTACTTCGTACAAGTCCTTTACCTGAACGAGAGTAACATCCCAAAAGCCAAGACCAAAAAGGAAATCGTTGTTCCCACTGAAAAGGAAAATTAATAAAACATTATTTTCTGCTACGATGGTTCACCTCCTCTGACACGTCCATTACGTCTAATGCTTTAAAGTTGCCTAAAATATCCTGAAATATAACTCAATTGAACTTCGTGTTCTCCACTTATCATAACCACCCTAGCTCGTAAACATTTACATAGAATTACCAAATACAAATGAAGATAAACTTAGTTTGGTAAGGAGCACCGAGAAGCTAAAAAGCTTAGTTAGGTCACTCTTGCTTGACTAGAATCAAAATAACACACAACCTGTACTTGATTATGATGTTCTTTCACGAAGCTCGAAAATGCAAACAATGATTGTGTCTTCGGCATGTATGATTTACTACTTATCCCTCAAAGGATCATTTCGTCGCAGTGCAATTTAATATAAGCGATCACTGCTCTCCGAGAGAATAAGCGATCCAGATGTGACTTCCAAGCGCTTATAATACAAAGTAACAAATAATCAAACTAAAACAGCTTCTTAAAGTTGCTTCTCTTGTTCAGTTTGAGCAGAAGCTAACGGGCTCCTCAAAGGAAACCAAGCACAGAGGTTGTAGAGTATACAACTACCTCTAGTGCATTTCGACATCAAATGGGTGATACAGATACAATTTCTGTAGAAAGCTTCAGGTAGAAGAAATTGTACTTTCGACTGCCGTTTAAATGCCATTCGCAATTTCCTTTACCACCACGGTCGAATGGAGTGTCACCATCATAATTATTTATTAAGGTTACTATCTCAACTACTTGCATCATTGTCTCTTACCTGCACCATAGTTACGCAATCTTTTGTCGTCTTTTCATTCTTCAACCCGTTGCAGCTGTATTGCTGTTCTGGCACACATGTTCCCTCGATAGTGATCTCACCGCCAGCTCCGCTGCACTTATCGCATTCGCCATCTTTAGCTTTCCAGTCCTTGAATTCAACACCTGTGACACACGATCACGAGGGAAGACAGAATCCAATTTTGAGAAAATACACCTAAGAAAGATTCTTACTGAGAGAACCAGCCAAGATCAATGGGTGCTAAGTTTACATCCAGCGTTTCAAATGTATCATTATTTAAATTTTTAAATCAGTTTTACTTTTTGTTTTCTTTTATCTCACATCCAATATATATCCTCTTGCGGCAGCGGAGGATTTTGGAGGGATTCACATGGTTTTCAGGGGGAACAGTGTGTGTGGTCGGCTGACAAGCTGCATGTTAGGTCATAACCAAGTTCAGTCCACATTATTCAATAAAAAAACGATTGACAAGGCGGGAAATTTCAGTCGTTTAGTCATTATACCCTGACCTACTGGATTGAATTCAGCACTTCCACTCACAACCTTTAAGTTGTGAAGCTGACCACTATTCACTTTGTTAGTAAACACCGTCTCGATGAAGCCAGTCTCTTTTCCTTCAAAACCAAGGATAACTTCGCCTCCACGCCAACTTTACCGTCTTTATTTGAGAACGCCACATCTGATACTTTAACGTCGTGGTACTTTTCGGAATTGTTGTAGATGTATTTCATCTGCAGGATGGGAGTAATCACAACGGTGTTACTTTCATTGTGACGACTGCTAATAACACATTAGGTATGCGAATTCAAATCGTAAAAAAGCCTGAGTATCCGTCAAAAACTATAGCACCTCTCCTTGGACTATTGTAATACAAATAAAATATTTCATATGTTAACATGACAAATGATCAAGTTTAACTGGGCACTTAAAATGGTGACCAGAGTGGCGTTTAATTCATACCAATTGTGAAACAGTGTGAACGTGCTCCAGATAAACCTACCCAGGAGACATGCACATCACCCGGTCGGATGTAAAACTATTCCAGAGTTATTGAGCATCAAACAGAAGAATTTAAAAGCTGAGTTAAAGCTTCAAATTCATTCATAGGAAGTCTTACGGGAAAATTGCGAGAAGAGCAGTTTCAGTGACTCTTTCATATCCAAGTAGCCTTTACGGCTTTCCCATGCCTCCCTTGCTGTAGTTGTGGATGAAAGCATGTGCATATCATAACCAAAGTAAAGCGCTCTGATTGGTCAATTCAGCGTCCACCATTTGCCCATGGGTGTACGCTGCTGACGTGAGGAAATGCAAAGACTAGTTTTCCGCGCGCGCTTGTTTTTTTTTTCTGGTCACGTAAGATTTGTTTAATAAAAGAAAACTCTTTTGCTACATTGTACCAATATTATGTTATAAAACAAGTGGTAAACGCCACACGGTGTTTACCATTTTTTAACTATTCGGTGTCTTTTTTTGGAACAAAAATATTCCAACTTCGGAATATGGAATTGGGATATTTTTGGAAATTTTTGGAAATTATCTGCAGTAAACTGTGACTTAAACCCCTTCTCGGTGTAACGTCTTCAATGAAGAAACATGAAAAATTGATTTCCTCTTATTAACTAGATGACAGAGAAGTCGGACTTATTTCCATGGATATCATGTTTTCCCAAACCTTGAACTCTTCTGACTCAGATTCTTCGAGGGATGCGTTCCACATTTGTTCTGCCACAAAATTGATCTTCGCAGAAGCTAAAGAAGAACAGACGTTACAATGCGCCCCCAAAGGATACGAAAAACATAAGTGTACAAATAAGGGTAACAACAAACTTCATTCCTATCCAGGGCTGTAGCCAGACTTTAGGACAACACGAGGCAATTTTCGAGCGCCGACGGAGCGAGCAGCTAGGGGGGGTCTGGGGGCATGCACCCCAGAAAATTTTGAAATGTAGAGGTTCAGAAATGCTCTTTTAAGGATTTTTCGTGGTATTTTTCTTCAGAGTGTAGTTGTTTGACTGACCTTAAGCATGAAAAGTTAGTGAGGTTACAAATCGTTGCCTCTGGAGAAATTAGCACTTCAAAAGCAGAATGATCATGAACGAAGACGACAGAAATGATATGATGGTATGATGAAAGCACATTCAGAGCTGCAACAGGCTGGAAGTGCTGTCATAAAAAGTTATCGTTAACATGGAGACGATTTTAAGTGTCCTTTCGGTTTTCTGTCGCAGTTTCATTTTTCTATTTTCCTTTAGAAAGGATGCAGGCAGATGGCAATCCGTTGACGGATGTCACGCCAGCTGCTGTACAACGTGTCTTCCTCATCATAGTACTACGATCGAAGTAGGTAATATATTGCCAACCGTTCAATCAAAACCAGACGCAAATTTCAAGTAAATAGATACATCTATTGGGTCAAGTAAATAGATATCAGATATCACTATACTCTTTCGTAATAATCATTTTTGCATTACATGGTAACTATAATATAATATAACGTGAGTGTCATGTGTAATATAATGTGAGTGTCGTGTCGCCATCACATGGGGTGAAAGCAAAGTAGGAACCAGGGGAGCTTCCTTGCTTAACCAAAATACGTTGGTATGGGATGAGTCGAAGGAGACGTTTGCTGACCCCCTTTGCCAAGGATATCGTTTTCGCTCATCGATATCGGTGCTGATTAAAATTTTGCAGATTTTCTACTACCCCAGTAAAAAAGGGCTTGAAATTATTAATAATAATAATAATGATAATAATAATGATAATAATAATGATAATAATAGTAATGATAATAATAATAATAATGATAATAATAATAATGATAATAATTACAATTTAGATAGCGCCAAAATGCAAAAGTTTTAAGGCGCTTTTACAGGATAAAAATGTACATGGTTCCATATTGAATAAGTTGAATGGGAGACTACAGCTTTAGTGTACAGACAGAAAAAAGCTGTCACCATGTGTTTATGTTATAGAAAGATATAATAAAATAAAACAAAAAGAAAACTAAGAAGAAGAAGCCACGCGTTCGTTGTTGATATTACCGACGTGTGACACAGGGTTTGGAAAAGGATACGAGATGTCTGCAATTGACCAAATAGGCATACCACACTTCTCTTGCTGAATTTTCCAGCAGTTCCCCCCAACACCCCTTATCGTCGTAACCGTGAATAGGCCCTTATCGATTCTACTAGTAAAAGTAGCATGTTATGAAACACAACTAACAATTGCACTCCATTCCAGACTAAAAGCGATGAGGCACAAATGTACGATATACGATGATGAGTAGCGAGATGTCTTGATGACTCTTCTCTCGACTAAGTGCTTCGGTAATAGTTTGTTCTCCCAACTTCGACTCCTTGATCTTTTCTTTCCCACTGTGCCCGTGTTTTGGAAGCACAATTGGATGACAAAATGCTTTTCTTTGATGAAACAACTTTTCCGCAAGCAGTGCAAAATATGGTGTTACCTCTAGTACTTAGATGCTGATCTGGAAACTGATTGATGCGATCATGTAATGGGACTTTTTTCCCGTCAGATGCTCCCTTGGTCTTGTATTTGCTGTCGGTTTTTTTCAGGCTCCAATCTCTAGAAATTTGAGCGGTTTCTGGCCTATCAGGCAACTCTTCTCTTTCTTAGTTGCTCGACGCCATTTTGCTGCTTGTGAAAGCGGGAGCTGGGATGAACGCAATCTCTACTTCCGGTGTGCCCAGTCCTCTAGACGACCAACGACGCAGTATTGCGGTAACCCTCTTCTCCTCCCCCAGACGAGAGAAAACAAACTGAAGCATGGACAGAACTTGGAAATAATCAATTTTAGAGACCAAGCAAGTCATGACGCTGATAATGTTCCCTTCGAAAAACTAATCTTGGACTGACAGGGAATGAAACTTATACTTGCACAATCGATAAGGGGCTAGCCGTGAGGAAACAGAATCTTGAGCGGTTAAAATATTGAGTGTCTAAATCTCTTGAAATATCACAAGGATTGCGGCGCACTGGGAAGAGTATTATCATCCAGTGTCTCAGAGAATATAATTGAAAGACACGGTTAATCATCTAGAATTGATTAAAAAAATTGTCAAGGGTAACAGACACCTTGTGCTCCATATGCATCAGACTCGAAACGGTTAAACACAAATTGAGTCCACACTGCTCAATAAACGAAATATGTCCTCAGAAACTGTTTTCTAATAA